TTTAAATGCATATTCATCACAAAATATAACTCATCTGGGGAGATAATGCGCATGCGCTAACACACTAACGTAGCCATATTGTGTACTGGCTGGTATACGCAGCCGGGATCTTACATATGCCAGGTCTTCTTCCTATTTCTTAAGTGAGGTCTTCTGATGGGATGTAATCACATAAATCCATGCTAGTGTGCTATGTCCCACCGAAACAATGGCACACACTGGGATCCGATTTGTTCTTCTGGAACAACAGCTCCTACTTGCTGGTCTCAGACTATTAAAGCAAGTTCCCATTGGTCAGAAAGTTGAACAACATTCGTTCGGACACAACAATCGCTCACATAAAGTCGATCTTTGAGGAGTATGGAATTCCGAGCAAGCTCGTTACAGGCAACAATACACAGTTTACCTCAGCTCTATTCCAGAAATTCAGTGAGACCTACGGATTTGACCATGTTACCACAAATCCATACTACCCACAGGCAAATGGTTTCATAGCGAGGACTGTGCAAACTGTCAAAGCTCTGCTGCAGAAATGCAAGGAGTCGAACACAGACCCACATATGGCTATGCTGTGCCTAAGAAGCACACCATTACAGCATAACATTCCCTCGCTAGCAGAACTGCTCAACTCAAGAGTCTACCAGACCAATCTTCCAGCAACGCGAGCAGCATGCACACCGTGCCTAGTCGATGGTGACACTAACGAGAAGGCTACAAGAGAGGCAGGAAAAACAGAAGTTGCAGTATGACAAACCCTCTAAGTCACTATCTGTGCTCCACCCAGGTGATTCTGTACGTGTACTAGATCCCCACAGCCATCACTGGGAACCTGAAGTGGTGAAAACCAGTGAACATAATCGCTCCTATGTTGTGGCGACAAATGGAAGCAGATTCAGGCGGAATCGACGCCAATTGCGGCCTACAGGAGAAAGCTTCAGCAGCGGCCAGGCAGATATCGCATCAGAGCATGCACCAGTGCTCCCATCGCCTGATCCTCTGCCTGCTGAGAGCATATCCCAGGAACGCACTTCACCTCCAGCTACCCCGATTCGTCGATCAGCCAGAAAAGTGAAGCCACCTGAAAGATTAGACTTATGAACATTTTCTGTAGAGCCATATCATTGTTTTTACACAGTACTGTATTCGTGAAAGTTGAGTTCAATTTTAACCTTCAGAAAGAAGGGGATGTCATAGTTTGTTATAGTTATGTTATATGTCACGATAGATAGCAGCACTGGTCCGACAGTGATGCACGTGTGGTTCGGCTGAGTAAACGTACTTGTCACCAAAGATCGTATAGTGCTTCAAGTGGCGTATCTAGGGGAGGGGGGCAAGGGGGGCACGTGCCCCGGGCGCCATGTTCAGGGAGGCGCAAAAAAGGCAAAGGTAAAAAAAAACGCAAAAAGGCAAAGGAACAAAAACAATCTGCCTACTAAATGATATCTTGAAATAATTATTCAATCCTTTAATTATTTGACAAGTTGATTACCCAGGGGCGTGTACAGGGGGAGGTCCAGGGGGTCCGGACCCCCCCTCCTCGCGCAGAAAACGCATCTAAAGGAGTCTAATTTCAAAAAAAATTCGAGGGGAGGGCCCCCAGACCCCCCCTTCGCGTGCTCACAAGTTTGGGTTACGGTTAGACCCCCCCCCTGGTACAATCCTGTACACGCCCCTGTTACCTGGACCTGGGATAGTAGCTGTAGTTTAGAAGTATTGACATCCTAATCTGAGGAACAACCAAAAACTCAACATTCCATTTTTTTCTTCATTTTTTTCATTGGCGCCAGAAGTTGGAAGGGGCGCAATTATAGCACTTGCCCCGGGCGCGAAATTTTTTTTCCCACGAGAGTTCCGGACCCCAGCCAATCAGCGCACTCCATTTCACTCGACTTCCTCGA